TTCGTAATTAAAAATGAACTAAGATATCTTTTTTTTTTTAGTTTAGATGCAGCTTGCAGTTTCCTGCCCGCTTTAGCTGAACGTTCACGGCATTTTCCAGTCAATAAACCGATCTCCCCACGCGAACTGCGCTGGCGCGCGCATTCCGGAAGTGGAGCCGCCGCCATGGTACTCGTAGTCATCGCTTTCCGGCTTCCCGTCCGTTACGTCATCGTTTGGGACGCCCCGGTATCGGCTTGGAGTCTCCTGACATGAGTGTACTTTATATTATTATGTTGTTTGAGATGACTTAGTCTTTCTGCAAGCGCAGAAAAGCAGGTCTTATTTCATTCTAATCGCCTCGTCGTCTGCTGCCACGTTCGAGTCGTTCACGTGGTGGTCCAACCGCTACCGCGGGAAAACACACGACGCCACTACTCGAGCTCTTCGGCTGCACAGACGTCTCAATGAACATAAAAGCAAGTGAACATCTAGTTCAATGGCAAAGAATACGAACGCTAATCGTTGCCAAACAGCAGAAGCTTTTTTTTTTTTTTCTGCGGTCTTGATAGGTGTTAATGCTGAACGGATCAGTAACGCAAGCCAAAATCATGTTTTGGGATAGTAGACCACCACAAGGTGGGTAGGTTCTTTCTGCTGACGTTTGGGTGGTAAGTGTTGCACTTCTGCATTGCGTTACAATGAGCGTTTCGGTTTTGTTTAAAAAAGAAATAAAGCCTGCGTTCGATGAAGTTGGTTTCATTTCTAGCGATGCATATCGAGAATCACTGCTTATCTTTTGTGATTACTTTTATCTCTATCACCATAGTTTTGCTTAAAACGTATCGCAATAAAAACTTTACCCACCGAAATACATCGCGCAAAAAGTTAATTAAAAACTGCCACCGCAAGTTGTCGCGGACGTGCCGATTGGGATAGAGCGCTACGGAGCGATCGCTCAAGACGATTCTAACGTACGGAACACTTCAGCACGCCCTACTATATCTCTTGCCCTGTAACCTCACACTCTTTAGCTAATATGAAATGGGGTAGATATAAAGTATAAACCAAACCTTGAAACAAACAAAACAAAACGCTCTTTTTCCTGTAGTTTTGCCCGGCTCTGTTAAGCTTACTTAGCTACTCCTTTCGGAGGTTGCTCTTTGGGGAGGACATAAAGTCCGATGCCTTTTTGCCTGGTGCTGGTATTGTAGCACCCTGGCACACAACAGGGGAAGCCACCCACTGAACACCGTGGGTAAAAACCCGATTATAGGTCTCGTGCTAACCCGAAACTTTCCAAATGCAAGGGAGTGTAGTCTTTCACTTCGAATCGATAGTTTCTTAATATTTCCGTACCACAGTCTTGAGTGTTAGATAATGGCTCTTATTAATAACCACGACACTTGCTCTTCACAAAAAAAAAATAAACCACCATAATCATAGGCACTCCCATGCCAGAAAACTGTGGAGAACTACAAGTACCAGAATGCAACGCTGTAGCGGTGGCGTAGCGCGACTCCTGATGAAATCGCTCTATTGAGCTCGATAAAACTTGAGGCATGGGTACAGTAGATTTCATTAGATAATTTAAGTTGCTCTTGCCCTATTCTGACTTCCATAATAAAACTTTTTCTTTTACTTTTCATACAAAGGTTTTACAGTCCCCCTTTTTGTTAGTTCCTATTTTCTTTTTGACCCAATGAATGCCTAAATTACAGAGTGCAGTATGACTATGTGGAAAACGCTTTCGCAGCACACGCTGTTAACCATTGTGTAATTTAACGTGTATGGGTTTGTCTGAGAACGGTGAAACCGGGGAATCTAATGGCACGATGCTATTTCGATGTTTTCGTTTTGGAGCATATAAAGAAGCGTCTTTTTGTTCGAGCTCTTAGTATATGGAGGTACGTTGAAGGATGTTTCTGTTCACGCCATTTCCGTGATTTTGAACTTTATCACGTGTTGTCGCATTTAAGTAGCACTACAAAACATTCGTTACCACAACAAGAAGAGCAATAAAGCTCTCTATCTTAAACAATTTGTTGTCTATATGTTTCAACAGTGGGAAGTTAGACTGCGTAAAAAGGTGTTTCACGTCTGCGCTGCACATAAGACTTTTAGTTAGTGCAACATTCTGGCTAGCCTGCTTTTTTTTTTTCTTCTTTTGTGCATTAACGCAGCAGTATATACACGAAAGTACGCCTGTACAATGCTCATCGACATCGAAACGAGCCGGGTCGGGTGTCGAGCCCAGGATTTTCATGAATATGCTCGGCCACAGATGGGGAATTGTGACAATTGCGCGGGCGAGAACGGTTCCTCATCTTATGCCTATGAAGCGCAACCTAATCGGTAGGCTAGAAACAGCGATACATTGCACTACAGGGCTAGAAATTAAAAAGAAATTACTAACAAAATTATTCCACTCTGTAGAGGTGCTGTAAAGTCGTAACTAGGAACACGACACCTTTTTGTTTTTGCGTTTTTCGCCTACTCCGTTTTATTTTGAACTCAGCTTCCAAATAACTGGTCCGTTGCCGTTGTGGCGCTGCTGCCAGCTTACAAATGGTACCATGATCATAGAAACACATGAGGCTTGAAGAGTGGAACAGCTTTCGGGTTCTAGGAGAAGCAAGTGAGCGATTGCAAAAATATCATAGATTGTGCTGTAGGAGCGTTTGCTCGCCCTGTAAGTCCTATGGTAAAGTGGGAGCCGTGCTCCGAGTTGCAGTGCGCTAACGCAAGCTAGACAAATAGCATGAAGCGGTGCACGTTTATGTGACATTTCCTGTATTGCATAACAGTGATCAACGTTATGATTTGTGATCGACGCCATGTACTAACTATTGATTGCCTATTGGCCAATTTTTAGGGTCAATGTGTTCTTTATTGTTATTATTAATTATTTTGGTGTCGATTTAGTTTATATTTTATTAAGCAATTAATCAAAAACAAAAGTTAAGAATACTGGAGAAACCATTGATACAGTAAGATGAAATATCGAAGCTGTGTTTTCCTCCCCTCTATTGAGACGAGTCGTGATCGATTCTACAACTAGCTCAGGCGTGAAGAACGCAAATTGCTATTCCCTGCAAATCTTGTCGAACGCTTTGCACGACGCAATAATGGGTTTTTTCAAGAGCCCTATGAAATATAATACCTTTTGTGTGTAAGTTACGTGCTTTTTTTTTTTTTTTGCTAATTTGTTAAAGCGGAAGCGTCAGTGCAAGATGCGTTCGCGGGAACTTCTTTCTATACACCGGAAAGAGCGGAACGTTTAAAGAAATGGCTTGTCGAACTCCCTCTGAACACGTTTTCTTGAGTCTTGCAGAGCCAATAGTCACACAAAGTTCGCGAGTGCCGCAGGAAGCGGGCTTTGTCTGTAATCTGCATTTAATGTTCGTGATTTCCATTTTTTTTTACACAAAAGAAGGTTTACGCGTGATATTGAGTAAAAGAAATATATTAATATTATATGCCATGCTCCTTACGACACTTCCTCGAAGCCAGTGTTTAATAAATTTAATATAGTACAAATTCTTAGTTTCTACGATTACAAGCTTTACATTTCTTACATTCTGTTCCAACAATTAAGATATGTATTAAAAATAGCCAACCTTGAGCAAAAAGAAATGTTTCTTGAAATTTGCTGTGTAGAAAAATGAATAGTGCCGAACTCCAGAAGAAACTTCGGAAGTAAATGCTAAGATAATAGTAATAATAATATTAATATTAATAAAACGCAGGCCCGCGGTGCCGCGTCTAGTGGTGATGACTATGTGATCGATACAATATACAAGATATACGTCCTCCCTTATCTTTTAACCCGTTTTAAACAGTCTAAATATAGATATCATTTGTGCAACTAGAAAGAGTATATGCACGTTATTTCCATAGGGATCTGTCAGGGTTGAAATTACCTGTATGCAAACTGAGCGTATGTTGCTATTATTGTATGTTAGTTTGTTTCTTATATGTTTATGTCTGTAATTATACAGGCGCTGTTTATCTAGGGATCTTTCAGTGTTGAAAATACTTGTATTCAAATTGAATGTATGTTGCTATTGTATGTTAATTTGTTTTCTTATATTTTATGCCCGTAAATCTGTAAAACTTTGTTTTCTTATCTTACTTTTAACTCCTGTTGCTATCGCTATTGGGGGACGCAGGGGTTTTGTCAAACAACTACTAAATTCCTTTTTTTGTTTTCCTGCTCTTCATTTTTAAGAAAAATAAATAATTTAAATTAAGATTATATTAAATCGAATTGCTTGGTAGTATCTTGTCGTCTTAGCGTTTTAAATATTCATGCACCAATGAGGTTGCTATTTTACTCCATATTATAAGTCATGCACTATTTTTTAGTCTGAATTTAAAGAAATATATATTTATCACTTAAATACCTTCAAATCTTCTCATGACATACATTTGCGGGAAAATCACGGGAGCCTGATGTCTAGAACTTCACGTTAGTTGTACAATGATAAGCATTTTACTGGAAGAAGTCATTAGTAATGTGTCTGCTGAAATAACTCGCCTAGGGTTCATTGAAGTTGTTTTAGTTACATATTTTTTGTTTATTTTACGAAGGTGTTCGTCGTAGACCGTCAAAGAATGTTGGATAGAGGTGCTAGTTGTTTCTCCAAAAGCCAGCAAGACAGGATAGCGCGGAGCGTTTAACATTTTCCTGGATTATTCAAATCGCAAGGTTCTTGCGAAACAATGAATATATCCTAGCTAAATATTTTGCTTAGCAGTTTTAAGTTGTTATGGGTTAGTCCTGGTTATCGTCTAGATCAAGATGAGCATCATGGTGATTTCTGCAAAGCACTACATGAATCTTCGATAACGAGCTTTACGTCCGTGTACATAGACCACAACCTGCGTTTTTATGTTTAACCGGTCTCAAAATACTTGTTCACGGACATGCGTGCCTTGGAGTGAAACGGGTCCTTGGTGTGCTTTGCCTACAGGGCGAATGCCGTGACCCGGTGACCACGTCGCCCCGTCCGGCCATGATGGTGGACGGGCAGACTAGAAGACGCAGTCCTTCGGTCGAAGGGACCTCGCACCGCCAGCAGTCCGGAGACGCCATCTCGACAGCGGATGGCTCCGAAGCGCCATCGGCCAAGCCCGGCGGTTCGCCGGACAAAGCGGACGCCTCCAAGCAGCCCACGCCGGTTCACGTCACCCCCGACAGCAACGCCGGCACCCCAGCCGGCGAAGCCCGCGGTGGCAGCGCGGGCCGATCGCGCTGGCTGAAGCTCCGTACCACAGTCCAGCTGTCTGGAGCCATCAGCGACATCCAGAAGAAGCGGCCGCTCAAGAGGGAGGACTCGTTCCTCAAGAGGTTCTCGACCAGGCACATCGGAGAGACGAGGACGTCCGGAAGCGACTCGGCTACGTCGCCAGCCGCCGAACCGCGGCCCAAGTTCTTCTCCAAGCCCAACTGCGTGCGACTCATCTTGGGAGTGCTCAATCCGGACGAAAACGCCCTGTTCGTCTGGCTATGGATCCTCACCTGGTGCGTGCTGTACAACGCGTGGGCGCTGATCCTGCGCCAGACATTCACGGAGTTGCATACCTCGTCTCTGCATCTCTGGTGAGCTGCTGTGCTTTCGCTCACTTACAATTCACCACCAGTTAGTAACAGGGGTTACCCACTGGATGGTGAATATACCTGTATTCACCAGCGGTGAGTAACGCTTGTTTAACCACGTCATGGGACGAACGGCGACCGCAAGTAAGCTGAGTCTACTCCTTTACTATCTCACAAGATCTCTTCGTGACGCAGTTATAATTTATGAGGGCACTATGGATGCGTTGTAAATTGGGTTTCCTATGTTTATCCTGCATACGCATTGCATGATCGTACTTCTCATGTATGAAACTCAAAATGATGCTATTGTCGTTGCTGCCTTTTCCAAAAAGCTTTCCGGGTGGTTCGGTGCAAATGTTTAGTTCTTGCCGAGTGCACTTTACGAATGAACAATCTGATTCCTATTTTTATAATGAAAATCAACGTTGTTGGGAGTATTTATAATATATGAACTAAACATATTTTAAAAAATTCGGTCCGCGGATTTAAATTGCTTTTTCGATAAAAGAGTTGTACTAATAAACTTCCGTTCCAGAGTTCATTTTCCAAGATAACTTCCACCCTTTAGAATACCTCCACCTGTTTTTTTTTGTTTTTTTTTTTAATGTTGGTGTAAGATTTGTTTTTATTATAGTATGATGCAAATAAAAACCCGCCCACAAAAAAAAAAATAAGTAATACCTTCCTCGGACCAGTGAAAAGATATGTTTCCCTGTCTGAGGCCATCTTTTGGTCTACTAATTCTTAGTGACAGGTGCCACCTCCGTAGTTCATTGATCCTCATAATCTGTATAACGTTAATTTTCAAGTTCTGTGGTTATACAAGCAGAATTTTCGCAGTGTCGCGTTCCATGAAACAAAACGACTGCACGTTTTTTTCTTTTTTTGTTGTTGTTTTCTTTTTTCTACCCTATTGAGCATTTTTTAAGGTTAATTTAGCGCTGAGCTTCTCCTGCAGATCTAATGCTGCAACGGCCGTATGGACATATAATAATCCTTATCTATAGTCCTTTCATATTTTAGTTTATTTTAGTCAATTACCCAGTTAACTGACAGCATTACTCTGAACTCCCACTTGGCTTACCAAAAAAAAAACTGCCAATTCTTTTTTTTTTTACTACTATTGTCTAAACTGGATTTCAATACTACCATGCCAGAAAGGGCTTTCCTAAATTGCTTCTACAATTAATACTATAATGTTTACTGCACTCAGAAACGTTGCCTTTCAGCATGCAAGCAACCTTAATCAATTTTCGTGCGCCTTGCAATATGCAAACACCCTTTGCCAATCTCCACGGACCTAACACTGTACAAACACCCTTAGGCAATTTTCATGCACCTTACAGCATAAGAATCCGCACGTCCTCATTTTAGGTTTGTAGCAGACGGCTTTTCGGACCTGGTCTACCTGCTGGACATCGTCGTCCAGTTCCGCACGGGCTACCTCGAACAGGGTCTGATGGTGTGCGAGGCCCGGAAGCTGGCCGGCCACTACGTGCGTTCCAGGCCTTTCCTCATGGACTTGGCGGCGCTTACTCCACTAGACCTGCTCCAATTCTACTTCGGCGTGACGCCGCTGCTTAGGTTTCCTCGGTTCATCAAGGTGTATCGCTGCTACCGCTTCTATTACATGGTGGAGTCTCGGACCATCTACCCGAACCTGTGGCGTGTGGTGAATCTGATTCACATCTTGCTGCTCCTGTCCCACTGGTTCGGCTGCTTCTATTACATGCTGTCCCAGTTCGAGAACTACGACGGCCCCTGGACCTACCACAAGCCGGACTCGCCCGAGTGGAAAGGTCTGGCCCGCAAGTACCTGGCGTCTCTGTACTGGTCCACGCTCACGCTCACCACCATCGGGGACCTGGAGACGCCAAGCTCCAACTTGCAGTAAGTGCTTCTTTATCGAGTGTTATGTGGACTTAACAGCGCAAATACGACAAGGAAGGATACACGGAAAATGGCCCATTGAAGAAGAAAATAATAATGATCAACCAACTAGCCCACCAGATGATCGTGATGCATTATCTATCGAGACATTGCTGTACCCACCGGGCCCATGAAGTTTGCAATGGCAAGATGTGCCGTCTTATGCGGGGTTCTAACTGCTCTGAAACGAACCGGCGGCCGCAATCACTGAATCCGATCTCGAGTTCAAAACTTCGAGTGCCATGCCTAAATCTGAAGCCGAGTACGCGCACAATCTTTCGGTGGCTAGGCCTAAGGTGCCCATTTTGGCTACCAGCCGCGCTGATTAACAGCCGACCGAGGCGCTCCTGCTCACTGCCATGGGTCTATGAGCTCCGTGCTGCATTCACACTAACCCAACACCTTTTCTTTCTTTTTTTTTTGTCTAGCATTACGCGAAGGTATTAACAGGGGCACTCAACGATAGCACTTTCTTATATGTGATCTGATGCGGTTGGAGCAACCTGCTCTGGCCACGTTCTTCAGCGATACACACACATAAGTAAGATCCTGGAGGTTACTTATTTATATTGGCATCGTGAATCATGAAATGATCAGAAATAGGTGCTTTACAAAACATTTTATTTATCGACCAACACATTGTTTACAAACAAGCCCGCGTCTGCCCACCAGGCGAGGGCACTGCGCGCGCGCAGAAACCAGATTCGGCCTAGGGGAATCAGCTGCGCATGCCCAATGCCGACAGCAGCGCCACCGCAGCGGCGTGACGTCAGAGAGTTGAGTTGGTCTATATATATCACTTTAAAAGCATGGTGTCCCTATCATAGAACCGTTTCTGGGAACGAATGATAGTACGGATAACTGTGGCTTATACATCTGGATTCATCAGGCTTGCACAATGCAAACCAGTTCCCTGGCGTAGTTCTATACGCAGGCAATGTTGAATTGATTGAAGATCATACAAGCTCCGAGTTTGTCGCCACTCAATGAGGATGCCCTAACTTCGTGTTGAATTGTTTACTACTTTTTACAACATCCGGCTTCTTTCATTAATGACAAATATTGTAGTCCAGCTTATTCTCTGCTCGGCCACGTAATACATTTTTACCTCGGGCGACGGGCTGAATCGGTTCGCAGAAGTAAAATATGTCCAGTCGTTGTGGAGCTGAATGGGTTCGTGATTTCTTCCGCGGCCTTCAAACGATTCTAAATTTGGCAACATTCGATTTGTCGTAGATTAAAACGCGCATTGGGACCATCTTTCTCTCTCTCTCTCTCTCTGGCTGGAGCAGGAAACGGGTGCAGCCACTCGATAAGGCTTAGTGCCTCGGAGCTCAACACGACATCAACCATTCCGAGTGAAATTATTACTCAATTTTGTTCCTCAAGCCTGAGTTTCCCCATAAGTCGAAGGTTTTATTGTCGATCATTTGAAAGGGCCGAATGATTCTGCAACACAAGGACATTCAAGAGAAGCCTAGTTTAATATTTCGGGAACGCACGGGGTAAAGAGATGAAGCATTGCAGCAATGACAGGGCGTTCAAGCGCAGATACCTAAGCGCATACATTTCAAAGTATTAAAGCGGAATACTATCCTTTTTATTATTTTTTAAGTTTTTACCTTATCGTACAGTACTGCAGCCAGAAGCTTCCACTCACCAAATCGGCGGCAGTGTCCGCATTTCTTTCTCGTAAAGGCACATTTAATGTGTGTGTGTGTGTGTGTGTGCGTGTGTGCGTACACGTGTGTGTGTGTGTGTGTGTGTGTGTGTGTGTGTGTGTGTGTGTGTGTGTGTGTGTGTGTGTGTGTGTGTGTGTGTGTGTGTGTGTGTGTGTGTGTGTGTGTGTGTTTCGATGCTTTTTGCTCAGATTAAGTATTTAAACTTTCTAGTCTTCACTGCGGTCCTCTTTAAGGGAAAGATGCGTATATGTTATATTTAGGATTATGTGTTTTGGGAGTTCATTTGTCTTCAAATTTGGAGGGTGTTTTTCGGAGTTAATTTTTCGCCGCGAATTCGGGGTTAATCGGAGTTTATTTTTGTTAGATTCCCAATTCTCATAAATTCGGAGTTAGATATTACTATGTTCCTAATTTTGTTTGAAATTCGAAATAAAGATACATAATTTCGGACAAAACGTACACTAAGCCGATGAAAGTTGTCCCTCCCAAGCACACCAGCGATTGGGAGTACTAACTGTCCCACGACAAATCTTGAAAGTGTTGATCCAAAAAACGTAAGTACTTTGGAACTGGTACAAACTGCTCTAAAGCAGGTTAAAGACTGGGAAGTCGGGACGGTGCGGACTCCGTGTTTCGCGCTTTTCGCAAGGTGACTGGGGAAGTGCTTTTGCAAGGTATACATGCGGAATATGCAACCGATTTTGTTATGCCCGTCGTTTGCGTCTCTCCAGCAAAACGAATACGATAATCTACAAAACCGCGATCACAAGCCAAGATTTACGATAACAGTGGATATTCATTCAAACAATTTACGTAAGATAGCTCGGAAGCCGAGAAAAAAATCTGTCGGCTAACGCAGAATTCGAACGTCCGAGGGCTTCTGCGGACAGCTGTTACGTAATCCCCTGGCTGTGCCAGGTTTTTTACGTAACAGCTTTGTCTGGTCGCGGCCGTTCGATGCACCCGGGGCACCCGGTGCGAATCTAGACGGCCTCCGGAGTGATATGACAAGAACGTAACTGGACAGGTTTGTCGCTACTCGAACGCTCGATTGCCTCTAGCTAAATAGCATTCCTTTCGGGGCCACATGGCTGCTGGAAGGCTCGCTGTCGGGATCTCTCATCTGACATTTCCAAAAAGTCAGCATTTGCAAGCGCAACAAAGGAAACACGCTAAGCAGGCAAAGAGGAAAAAAAAAGAACCGCGCTATGAAAGCCAATACCCCGCGTCGCTTCCTATCACTAACACCTGCGACAGCTTCTAAACACACACTACTTCACTTCAAGAAGTCTCACTCAAGCACCTGGGTCAGCCCGAAACACTGATCACTTCGTGAAACGATTAGTCGAGATAGGAGGCGGGACAGGCGGCAGCAGAGACCATAGAGTTATTACAATAAACGCTAGAGGCTCAGCTGGCGCTAGTGTCTATGGGACTTCCGGTTGCAAATTGAAGCAGACAGCATGCAGTCTACGTTTCCAGTCTTCCTGTGTATTCCTATGGGAAAACGCTCGTGAATTTTGTCTCGTCGCCGGAAAATAACATTAATAACCTTTGTTATTTCGGTTGTACCGGGTAGTATGTACCTTTATTAATATTGTGAAAGTGTAATTGCTTTAGTTACAGCATTTTTCCTTTACCACTGAACGATGCTAAATTTCGCTATATTTTAGGCCCAAACCTCTGTTTCATGGCAGGTATGTAGAAACGAACGACGATTCTAAGCAAAACAACGATCGAAAGGAATGTAGAGTGTGTTCAAAGTTAGCCAGCATTCCGTTGGTGCTTATATATTGCTAATATGCCTGTCCTCTCACTATATGAAAATGACCCCGTCGTGCATTTCTACGAGCGGTTAAAAAAAACGTTCGAAACGTAAAGAATAAAGTACGTTGGCTACGAAAGGTGTGTTTTCTTATTATTTAATATGTTGGGCAGTTTTTATCGCGCACCTGTCCTCTGGCTTTCTCCTATTTGCAAAGATTTGGAGAGTGCGGGTGATGATTTGAACACAGAACAAGCATCTTCGCTAAGCAAAAAGAATAAAGCAGTACTCATTTATTGCAAATCGGACTATATTACGTGACTTTCAACTTATTTTGATCGTCTGCAAGCGCAAGGAGTTACTTACCCAGTGTAACTGCGTAGTTCTTGCCGTCTCTCTTGGTTTTCCACATGTCGTTCGTTCGTTGGGCACGTATATCCCCCATGCTGGAAAGTGTCGACGCCGTGTTCGCGCTAACAGTGTCCGACAGTGCACATAAATACACGTACGAAGCGGTTTTAACACCGTTTTTAATGCCGCGAATTTCAAATAAAAATGCTGTACCTGACCAATTATTTCGTCTGCGTGACTGAGAAATGTTCCAATGTGCCTAGTACGTTCAAATTATTCGTGATATTTGCTCTTATAATCGAGCGCAGAGAGAGAATGCACTCGCTTTTTCCCATAGAAATGCATTACCGGAAGTCAATTTCTGACTGCTTGCTGTCTGCTTCAATTTGCAACAGCACACTAGCGCCAGCTGAGCCTCTAGCGTTTATTGTAATAACTCTATGGCAGAGACTTCGGCGGCCATGAAAGAATGGCGAAGCTTTTGATTTGTTATGGTATGAATCCAAACGGAAGTGCCCGTCTTGTAAACCTTTTGTAAAGAATAATAACTCATCACATGGGTTATTCTTTGAACGTAAAAATATGCCGCTCAAATGGAAATTAGAACATATAACAAAGGTTTAACAACAAGGTCTAAGCTGTCAATCAAACTCTTAGCCAATGAGAAGTATAGCAGCTAATTGGGGCTAAACGTCACGGAACCCCAACTTCGTGGCGCTCGATTTAAAACGAACGAAATTGCCACAAACTAAAATCAGTCTCATGCAATCAATATTGCTGTAAATGTTTTTTTTTTCGTGGAAAATCTGTTTTTTTTAGATGCTTGTCCCAATTGACTCAGTAAGTGTGACGTCGTGGGTCCAAACAAACCGTTGCTAGGGTCGTTGTTCATGTGGCTAGGTTTCGCTACGAAAACCCGACCCTTCAAAAATTAGGAGTAGGATTTAAACTTCTAAAAATCACATATATAGAAAGCTTGAATGTCATTTATGTTTCGACAGAAGTGTGCCGGTAATCGCTTGTTTATGAAATATTTACGACTGCAACTTCGGATCCTCGAGATGCCTGCAGCAGACGACGAATGCAAGAAGCATGCCGTCTGCCACACGCCGGCAGGCCAAGCCGGCACCGTCGTTTGAATCGTGTGAATAAGGGCGATATTC